AATGATAATTCGCATAACTGTTAAAGTCCAGGAATGGTTTTCGTTTAATAATCTCATAATTTTGGCCTGAACGATTCTGTTTAATAATCTCCTAATTTTGGTCTGAACGATTCTTGAACCTTGGGTTCTAGAATCAGCATCGAAAGTCCGTCTGGACATCCAAATTGATTTCTAATTTGTTTGACTTCTAATTCGTCTCTCTCTATTTGGTGTCTTAAAGTAGCGTGAGTCCGATTTTGGACATCTTAGATAGTCTCTAAATTTTGGTCCGGTGTTTTAAGATTCACGAGCGGGGATCGAGGGACCTTCTAATTGATTACCTTCTAATTGATTACCTTCTAATTGATTACCTTCTAATTGATTCTAAGTTTCAAAAATTCTCAAAAGCTTTCGAAGTAATTTTCTAGTTTAGAAAATTTATGGTTGTAAGCCCTAACTTTCTAGTCTGTGGATTGATGGCTAGGGCTAGAAGGGCGAGGTGGGGTGACAATGGTCGGTGCTGGAGCAGTGAGTTCACGCTCTGTAACGAGGGAGCTTGAGACCATTGGAACTTGCTGGAGGAAGGCATAACTACCTTGCTCAACGTAGCCCCAACTTTTTTAGTCTGTGGATTGGTGGCTAGGGTTAGAAGGGCGGGGTGGGGTGACAATGGTCAGCGCTGGAGCAGTGAGTTCACGCTCTGTAACAAGGAGGAGCTTGAGACCATTGGAACTTGCTGAAGGAAGGCATAACTACCTTGCTCAACGTAACTGAAGTCGGGTTCTAGTTTGTGCTGCAAAGTTTGTCTGATTTTTGTATGAGTTTCTCGAAATTTTTTGAATTCCGTAAGTGCGGGGAGGTTGGTTTGAATAGGGTGTGCACGGTGCAGAGGTGGATTGATGGCTAGGGTGGTAGGTCTGTAGAAGGGCGGGGTGGGGTGACAATGGTCGGTGCTGGAGCAGTGAGTTCACGCTCTGTAACCAGTGGAGCTTGAGACCATTTGAACTTGTTGAAGGAGGGCATAACTACTTCGCTCAACGTAGCTGAAGCCGGGGCAGTGACCCTGTAACGTGGGGGCTGTGCAGCTAGGGAAGTTGTCGAGGGAGGATGACACTTCCGATCTGCTAGAACAAGCTCGATCGGTTGGTACTGGGGCAGTTGGTGTTGCTCTGTTACCCTAGCGCAGGGGGGTATGAGATCTTGCGCGTTCTGGCACGAGGACTGAACGCCTGGGCATTAATCTTTCCTCTGCGATGTGGGGAAAGAGCTGGATGGTGGGAGATATCTTTCATTTTTCTAGTAGTTCCTTGTTTCATTTTCATGGAATTTTCTGATGATTTTTTCTGAATGTACTCGTTATGGGACGCTGGGCCCGGTTCCCAGTTTGTGCCAATTAGTGAGGATATGGTTGTATCTAT